CCGCCTCCTGGGTTCAGGCAATTCTCCTGCCTCAGCCTCCTGAGTAGCTGGGATTACAGGCACCCGCCACCATGCCCAGCTAATTTTTTGTATTTTTAGTAGAGACGGGGTTTCACCATGTTGACCAGGATGGTCTCGATCTCTTGACCTCGTGATCCACCCATCTCGGCCTCCCAAAGTGCTGGGATTACAGGCTTGAGCCACCGCGCCCGGCTGAATGAATCTTAGTCTGTGCATTGGACAGCTCTCTAATAGCAAAACACCTGGAATGAGTTCATCCACTGAACAATTTAAAAAATTTTTTTTTTTTAGAGACAGCATCTCACTCTGTTGCCCAGACTCGTCTTGAACTCCTGGACTCAAGAGATCCTCCTGCCTCTGCCTCCCTAAGTGCTGGGATTATAGACATGAGCCACAGTGCTTGGCCTGGCCATTTTTATTAGTAGTAAAAATAATATGCTCTGTGCCCAGCAAGTACTGCCCAATAGCTTCAGTTGATAAATAGCCCAGAGGCAGGAAGTCTTTGGAAGGCGTTTGGGACTGTGATTCTCACCCGGCTCCTTGGCAGCTTGTGCCACCTGACTGTACCAGTCACCTTGTGCCTGTCACTCTTCCACTCATCGTTAATTAGAAACTTGAGCTCTGACTCACCACCCCGGACCCTTCCCAGCTCCCTGGTGAACTTCACCATCTGTGTGGACCCATCCAGGGCCTCCCCCAGAGTGGGTTTCCACCACTGTCTTTTGTGGTCACACCTGAGAATTTGTCCTCACCAGGGATGGCAGGCGGCTCCTCCACAGCCTATTTCAAATGTCCTTCTCTCCTGTCTTCCAACACATTGTTCAGCTGCTGTCGCTGTCCCAAGTCTTTGACGTCAAGGAGATCTCTCACGTCCTGAGTCCACCATTGCCCGGGTGCTCCTCAGCGCCCTGGCTTCCCTCCCCTCCGTGTCCAGTCTCAGTTCTATGGCCCATATTGTATTTTCACTCCCTTCAACTTACTGGTTCCCTGCCACTGTTAAACCCGTTTGGCAAAATCCCAACCCTGGTGGCCCGCTCTCTGCAGTCCAATCTCTGCTGCCCCCACTCTGCAGGACTGCGCCGAGCAGCCGATGCTGCTGAAGAAAGAAGCAAGCACCGAATGGCAGCACCCTGACCTCACAACACCGCTTCTGCTGCTCCTGTGTTTTCCAGCAGGTTTCCCTGCTTCCCTCCCTTCCCACACCTGTGATGACTGTGATATTCCCTCCTTCGCCCTCCTCCAGCAATGACCTCACCCCATATTTATTCTTTTTTTTTTTTTTTTTTTTTTGGAGACAGGGTCTTGCTCTGTCACCCAGTCTGGAATGTAGTGGTGCGATCACAGCTCACCACAGCCTCAACCTCCTAAGTTTAAACGATCCTCCCCCCACAACCTCTCAAGATAGCATCTGGCTATGTTGTTGGGACCATAGGTGTGCTCCACCATATCCAGCTAATTTTTGTATTTCTTGTAGAGGTGGGGTCTCCCTGTGTTGCCGAGGTTGGTCTTAAAATCCTGGCCTCAAACGACCCACCTGCATTGACCTCCAACGCAGGCCTGAGCCACGGTGCTCAGCCTCCATACTTCCTAAGAAGCCTCTGGCTGAGTCCTCCTTCGTCATGCTGCCACCATGCCCTCAGGTCTACCTTGGACCATCTTGTCTTCCCAGCCTATGCCTGGCAACTGCTGTCCTCCCTCCTGTCAGCCAGTCAGCGGTTCCCAGAGACCCACCAAGCATGTTTTAAATGCAGCATGGGCAGGTCAAGGGGGATGCTCTGCCCACCCCTGCCCTGCTCATTCCCCCTTTGGAAAGATGGTGGCACACCAGGCAGCCCATCATGGAGGATGGAGCTGGGGGCCACTGGGACCCCAGGAGCTTTGTCTTGCCACACACCCCACTCCCCCCATGGAAGGTTGGAACATCACCTTCAGCTGTGGAGAGAAGGAGAAGAGGAATGTCTCGCCGGTGCCATAGAAGCCTTTGCTGAGTCGGAGAGCCGAGGAGGAGAAGGCTCCAAATATCTGGAAAGTGGAAGTTGCAGTCTGCAGCTGGGAGGGAGCTGGGGGTCCTCTGGCAACCCCCATTCTCCAGATTTAGTAACATGGGATCTGCCTTCCTAGAGGGCACCTGGGAAGCTGGGGCAGAGCTGGGGCATGGGGGCTGCACACCCATGAGCAGGAATCCTTATGCATCCTTCCCTTAACGCTCCCCAAGGAAGAGCTCCTGGTGGCTCCTCCTCTGGGCAGTCAGGGCCCTTCTTTTTCTCAAATATACTTATTCTAGGCTGAGTGCGGTGGCTCACGCCTGTAATCCCAGCACTTTGGGAGGCTGAGGTCAGGAGATGGAGACCAACCTGGCCAACATAGTGAAACCTGTCTCTACTAAGCATACAAAAATTAGCCTGATGTGGTGGCAGGTACCTGTAATCCCAGCTACTTAGGAGGCTGAGGCAGGAGAATCGCTTGAATCTGGGAGGTGGAGGTTGCAGTGAGCCAAGATTGTGCCACTACACTCCAATCTGAGAGGCAAAGTGAGACTCTGTTTAAAAATATGTGTGTGTGTGTGTGTGTGTATTTATTCTATACAAGTAATCATACAGAAAGTAGAAGTTAATAGACAAGCAAAAGAAAAGAAGTAAAGCTATCTCCCAATCTCTCTCCTCTTCCCCAGGATAACTACTTTAATATTTTGGTGTGTTTCCTTCTGACATCAGTTTAATGCCAGTGTATATCTTTTTTTCTTTTTTTTTTTCTTGACAGGGTCTCACTCTGTCCCTCATGCTGGAGTGCAGTGGTGTGATCATGGCTCACTGCAGCCTCAACCTTGCAGGCTCAAGTGATCCTCCTGCCTCAGGCTCCCTGCAAGACCCTCGGCCCCAGTTGCTGGGACTCTAGGCATACACCACCACACCTAATTTTGTTGTTGTTGTTGTTTTGTAGAGATAGCATCTGGCTACGTTGCCCACGCTGGTTTTGAACTCCTGGACTCAAGCAATCCTCCTGCCTCAGCCTCCCAGGGTGCTGGGATTACAGGTGTGAGCCCCATAGTTTCTTCTGCTTCTGAGGATGAAGATGCAGTTTTACAGTCAAATGATTATTTGCTTTCTGTCTGACCCTTCCCACTGTTAGACCATTAGCTCTGAGAGAGCTGGGGCCGCTTCTGGGTTGATTCTGCTCTATCCCACCTGTCACCTGGCACGCAGAAGGCGCCTCGTGTAGATGTGTTGAATGCATAAATGGGGAATGGCTCTGAGTGGCCAGGTCTCATTGCTATCATCAGTGTCCATTATAGGTGACTTAGGCACTCTGCCTGCTCATCCCTGAGCTGCCCTGGGGCAAGGCCCTCAGGCACCTAGGGGGGTGTCCCCAGAGGCTTGGGAGGCACCTCTGCCCAGCTCACCTGCCTGTCCTGGTCCCTGAGCACGAGCAGCACTGGCCCACTGCAGTCCTCCATCCGCCGGTACAGGCTCTGCAGGCTGAAACCGTCCCTTGACGTGCAGAAGACCAAACTCCAGGGATGGCCGGTGACTCTTGGTGGGAAGTGACAGCTGAGCTGGGGACAGGGCTGGAGGTGAGTGAAGGAGTTCTCCTCGAGCCGTCCTGCCATGTCCTGGGGGTGGGCTTGGACAGCCATCATGCATCCAGCACAGTGCTTTACAGGCGATAGAGCTGTTTCCAGGGACTTTCATGCCATAAGCAATAGCCCTCGGAGATAGGGGTTGTTATTCCCATGTTACAGATGAGGAAACAGAAGCTCTGGGAGGTGGAGCAACTAGCCCAAAGCCCACATGGGTAGTGAATGGCAGAGCCAGGATTCGAACCCAGGAGTCTCTCAGGACACTCTGCTTGGTCACTCTGCCCTACAGAGGCCAGAGAAGAGGAAAGATGCTGAACCCTTCCTCCTGAGCCTCCGTCTCTTCCTCCCATCTCTCCCCAGCTTTGCCTCAGTTCCCAAGGGCTGCTTCTATGTAGGAATTAGTCTCTTTCCTTTTTTTCTTTTGAGACAGTCTCACTCTGTCATCCAGGCTGGAGTAATGACATGATCTCAGCTCACTGCAACCTCCACCCCCTGGGTTCAAGTGAGTCTCACGCCTCAGCCTCCTGAGTAGCTGAGACTACAGGTGCGCACCCCCGTACCTGGCTAATTTTTGTGTTTTTAGTAGACAGGGTTTTGCCATGTTGGCCAGGCTGGTCTCTAACTCCTGGCCTCAAGCGATCCTCCTGCCTTGGCCTCCCAAAATGTTGGGATTCAAGCGTGAGCCACCTTGCCTGGACTAACCTCTTTCTTTACCTCCTTAACCTCCTGGCCCAGTGAAGAGGGAGGTGCTAGCAACACTGCATGATTTTACACGGAAGGAAAGGAAAGCAAAGCAAAGCCCAGAGGGAAGAAGCAATTTGCCGGAGGTAACGCAAGATGGGAGCAGAGCAAGAGTGACTCTAGGTGCCCCTGGGCGTAGCTGGTATAGGGCAGGGGGTGAGACCCTTAGGTTTAGGGCTGAAATTCTTGTGCCGTGGGCAATGCCCAGACCTGCCTAATCTCTGAAGCACTCAGAACCTGGCTGGCTTCTGTCAGCTGGGGCATCGTGGGATCCTCAGGAGTAGCAGCTGAGGCTGGAGCTGCCGCCGCCTCCTCCTCCTCCTCTTCCTTACCCTCCTCCCCAGACAGGGTGTCCTCCGCCTGGCTGGGCTGTGAAAACACAAAGAGGCCTCGTGGGTCCAGGGACAGGAGGTCGCAGCTTCCACCATCTCCTGAGCCCGAGAGCCTCCACAGGCCATCCCATCGCTCCCTGCTCTGGCGCCGGTAACCCCCGGCCCAGCCCAGGGTAGCTGGGGGTTCCCACAGCAGACAGGATGCCGCCCTGCCTCTGGCCTGCTTCCTCCCTGGCCCCTGCAGGCCAAAGCCAGGAGCAGAGTCCCCACGAGGCTTGGATGGAACCGTGGGCCCTGGGGTTTGTCGGCCTGTTTGCTCTGGATCCTGGGAGGGTGACAGGGATCAAATTCTAAGCTTGGGAGCAGAAGAGAAAGCAGGTGGTGGCCCAGCCCTGGGAGCTTCAATTGTGTGTGTTGTGCATTAAATAATGACAACAACAAAAACCCGCCCATGCCCAGGCCTGTGTTCAGTGTGCACTGTCTGTGATCTCTTTGTATTTTTGAGGCAGGGTCTTGCTCTGTCGCCCAGGCTGGAGTGCAGTGGTGCAATCTTGGCTCACTGTGACCTCCAGCTCCCAGGTTCAAGCGATTCTCTTGTCTCAGCTTCCCCAGTAGCTGAGATTACAGGCTCCCACCACCATGCCCGGCTAATTTTTGTATTTTTAGTAGACAGGGTTTCCCCATGTTGGCCAGGCTGGCCTGGAACTCCTGACCTCAGGTGATCCACCAACCTCAGCCTCCCAAAGTGATGGGATTACACGTGTGGGCCACCACACCTGGACTTCTGTGTATTTCTTCTTATCAGCATTTTACAAAGGAAGAAAATGAAGCCCGAAGGCTTCCCCATTAAGCCAGTGAAATGGCGGGTACAGTCATATGTGAGATCATATATGTAGGTTCATGTAAAATGTGTTTGCTCATGTGAATTGTGTGTTGGCTTAAAATACAGTTGTGTAGGCAAATCGATGTGAGAAGGTATTGAGTGTAAATATGTATGTTTACATATCAATGTGTTTGTGTGAGTTGGGATGGTATAAATATGTGTCAAGCAGGCATCATTAGTCATTCACTCATTCATTCATTCATTCATTCACTTGAGCTTCCACTCTGTACGAATGTGTTTGAGTGTGTTTGAATATGTGTGTGTGTTTGAAAGTGTATGTGTGTTTGAGTGCATTTGAGTATGCATGTGTTTTCAAGTGTGTGTGTATTTGAGTGTGTGTGTATGTGTTTGAGTATGTTATATGTGTGTGTGTTTGCATGTGTATGTGTGTGTTGTATGTATGCGTGTTTGCGTGTGTGTGTGTGCGCACGTGCATGTGTCTCCACACAATGACCTTGCAGGCCTTTCACAGGAAAAAGAGACCTCTCAGGGACTGAGCGATGGACAGGACCCCCTCTCCTGCCCTCCTCTGTTCTCCAGGCTCAGGCCTGAGGCAGGGTCTAGCTGTGTGTGGCTCTGGACAACACTCCATCCAGCACCCACTCCAGGGAGGAAGGGACAGAGACATTGGTCTGTCCACCTTCAAGGCCTCAGGACCTTGGAGCACAGGGTTTAAGATCCCAGGTTCCTGAGTCAGTCCTTGCTCCAAATCCCAGGCCTGCCGGGGAAGACTTGAGAGGGGAACAAGTCACTGCCTGCATCCAACCCTAGCCGAGGCCCCACCCTGCCAGAGGCCTCACCTCCTTCCACCTCCCAACCTGCACCACAGCCAGAGTTGGAGCCCTTACCAGCCGAGTGTACCGCCAGCGGAGGCCTCTCATTCTCCTGTCCCTGCCCGGCCGGCCATGGGCAGTGAGTGAATCCTCAGCCCTGCCCAGAAAGGAAGCCCTGATAGGTGAGGCCTACAGATGAGAAGGAGAGGCCTGGGGCACACCCAGCTAGCTCCATGCCCACCCAGCTGCCCTTTGCTCCCTCTCACCTGTCACTCCCAGGCCAAGCTGCTGGGTGGGTCTGTGAGTAACTTGGCATTCAAGGCCTCATTTCCAGTTAGTATCTAACATGTTAATCATACACCATAAATTCTAGTTGCAATTCCCTTCCACCTTCTTGCCCTTCTGGCAGCCTGGCCTGGGGGCTGTGGCCCACAGGGCAGATGCCTAAGGCCCAGGGTGGAGGTCTGGAGCCTCTAGTTCCCCGTATTACCTTGGATAAGCCCATTTGTACCCTGAGCTTCAGTTTCCCCATGCATAACATGTAACATGTTGAACCAGATAATCTCAAAGCCTTCGAAGGACTGACAGTCTGCTATTCACTTCCCTCTCCAAACTGATGAGTGCATTAGAATAGAAGCTAGAAGGGGGCATGCCTAGTGCGAAAGAACAGATATGGCCAGATGCGGTGGCTCACGCTGGTAATCCCAGCACTTTGGGAGGCCGAGGCAGGCAGATCACTCAAGTCCAGGAATTTGAGACCAGCCTGGGCAACATGGTGAAACCCTGTCTCTACAAAAAATACAAAAATTAGCTGGTCATGGTGTCACGCACCTCTAGTCCAACTACTTGGGAGACTGACATGGGAGGATCACCTGAGCCTGAGAGGAGGTGACTGCAGTGAGCCAAGATCTCACCCCTGCACTCTAGCCTGGGCAACAGAGTGAGACCCTGTGTCAAAAAAAGAAAAGAAAAGATTATTTTAAACGCTTTTTTTTTTCCTAATTAAAAAATTGGCTGGGTGCAGTGGCTCACACCTGTTATCCCAGCACTTTGGGAGGCCGAGGCAGTTGGATCATCCGAGGTCAGGAGTTTGAGAACAGCCTGGCCAACATGGTGAAACTCGTCTCTACTAAAAATACAAAAATTAGCTGGGCAGTAGTGGTGTGCACCTGTAATCCCAGCCACTAAGGAGGCTGAGGCAGGAGAATCACTTGAGCCTGGGAGGCGGAGGTTGTGGTGAGTCAAGATCGCATCACTGCACTCCAGTCTGGGCAAGAGAATGAGACCCTGTCTCAAAAAAAAAAAAAAAAAAAAAAAAAGTAAGTGATACTTAGATATTGTAGAAAATTTGAGAAACCGGAAAAGAATAAGAATACAAGAATAAGGCCGGGCGCGGTGGCTCAAGCCTGTAATCCCAGCACTTTGGGAGGCCGAGGCGGGTGGATCACAAGGTCAAGAGATCAAGACCATCCTGGTCAACATGGTGAAACCCCGTCTCTACTAAAACTACAAAAAAATTAGCTGGGCATGGTGGCGCGTGCCTGTAATCCCAGCTACTCAGGAGGCTGAGGCAGGAGAATTGCCTGAACCCAGGAGACGGAGGTTGCGGTGAGCCGAGATCGCGCCATTGCACTCCAGCCTGGGTAACAAGAGCGAAACTCCATCTCACATAAAAAAAAAAAAAAAAAAAAAGAATACAAGAATATTCACAATTCCATCTCTCACACATACATTCTCATCCCCCCAAAGTGTATTTCCCAGTCTTTTGTATTTATTTCACATAGACACATGAATACACGTTTGCAAAGGGCCATACTATCTGTTCATACCATATTGACCACACAGTTTTTTTGTTTTTTGTTTTTTGAGACAGCATCTTGCTCTGTCACCCAGGCTGGAGTACAGTGGCGTGATCTCGGCTCACTGCAACTTCTGCCTCCTGGGTTTAAGCGATTCTTCTGTCTCAGCCTCCCAAATAGCTGGGATTAGAGGTGTGCCCCAAGACGCCTGGCTAATTTTTGTATTTTTAGTCGAGACAGGGTTTTGCCACGTTGGTCAGGCTGGTCTCGAACTCCTGACCTCAGATAGTGCGCCCTCCTTGGCCTCCCAAAGTGCTGGGATTACAGGCGCGAGCCATGGTGCCTGGGTGACCGCACAGTTTTATAAAGTTGTTTTCCTACTAACAACTATCGAGAATTCTCCAAGACACCCTACACTCTTGGTGTGTGATTCCTCCAGTGGCCGCATATTATCTCCTCTCAGGACGTTGGTAATTTATTCCCCCTGCTGTTGGACATTTTGTTTACTTCTAATTTTCTCTGTTAGCAAAACGGCAATGAACGTTGTTCATAACTCGGATTGTATCCTTTATGATAAATTTCAAAAGTTGAATGCTGGGCCAAAGACCATACACATAGCTCTTGATAAGTGTTTCCAACCAGGTTTCCTAGGTGCTTAAAGTTGACCCATGTCCAAGGACTTTTAGGGAAGCTCAAGGTCATATCTTTCTGGTCATCAAACCTTATAACCCTTGGACTATATATAGATAAGGAAACTGCCATTCAGAAGAGGGAAGAGACTCATCAGTCACATGACCATGTAGTACCGTGGTTAAGAGGAAAAGATCTGGAGTCAGGGAGTTTGTATCCTGGTCTTGCCACTGACTTAGCTGTGTGGCTTTGGGCAAATTACTTAACATCTCTGTTCTTCAGTCACTTCACTTGTAAATATTAATATCTACATCTACATCAGGGCTGCCATAAGAGTAAATGAAGATAATGCCTAGAGAGCTAGAGTGCTAAGCCAGGCATCCGACCTCCTGACCTCAGTTTGGTGAGATAACCCCACAGTACCTTGTGTTTGTGGGTGCTGGGTGAGCGGCAGTACTTACTACAATCCCCCCCACACTGAGTCTTTGAGAGTCTAGGGCTCAAATCCCTGACAAGTGGCCTCTCAGCCTCCACCTGGGTGCCTCTGGGACAGGCAGTCACTTGGTCAGTTGCAGGGAGTTCAGAGGGAGAAGGGAAAGGGGGGAGCCGTGAAGGATGTACTTACTGTGCCCTCAGTGTATCTCCCTGATCCCCAGAGAGGGGGCCGCACCTGGTACTGACCCTGCCCACCTGGTGGTCTGTCTGCGGCAGCTGTGGCTTTGATCTCTGGTCCCTGGGCAGGTGACTGGCCCCTCCGCCCCAGCCTTGGCTCTTATATCTGCCCAGAGGGTGGCAAGCCTGGCCCTGTGCCCACTCTAGTTCCAGCTCAGAAGGCCTGGCAGTGATTATGACACATCAGAAACTCAAATGCCAGAAACACACACAAACAAGACCTTGTCATCCCCCTGGCCCCCAGCTCTGCCCCCAACAGCCCAAAGAGGTGAGGATACCAGGCACTTTGGCTCTCCTGAAGCCTCTCACAACAGCTGCCAGACGGCAGGTCCTGGTGCTTGATGCCCACCACTGAAGACCTTATAACCCTCGGACTATAGATATGGAAACTTCCATTCAGAAAAGTTTCCTCATAACCCTTAAGGTTAAAATCTGCAATATGGCCGATTACAGGTGTGAGCCACCAAATCTGTGGTGGCTCACACCTGTAATCCTAGGATTGGGGGAGGCCCAGGTGGGAGGATCGCTTGAGCCCAGGGGTTTGAGACCAGCCTGGGCAACATGGTGAAACCCCATCTCTACAAAAAAAATACAAAAATTAGTCGGGTGTGGTGGCACATGCCTGTAGGCCCAGCTACTCAGGAGGCTGAGGTGGGAGGATCGCCTGAGCCTGGGAAAATTGAGGCTGCAGAGAGCCAATGTCACATCACTGCACTCCAGCCTGGGTGACACAGTGAGACCCTGTCTCAAAAATA